TACAGGACATGTTCTGGGTAATATCTGAGACATACATTATAAATAGAAGTGGGCCTAGCACAGAGCACTGTGGAACTCCACTGACTACATTGTGCTTGCCAGATATGGTGCCATTTATTCTGACTTGGTATGTCCGACTACACAAGCAGTCCCGAATCCATCGAAGCAGCCGACCCTGTATCAGAGGCGCCGACTTTTGAAAGTCCTCATGGGTGCAGAATAACTTTATAAATTCGTTCATAGGGGTAGGGGGAAGCTCGCCGGAGGCGGAAAAATTTTTCTACGAGCGTACGAGAAGTGCTTTTTTCCGCACACATTTAGGCACTATTGCGGAAAAATAAAATAATTATGCAATGTTAAATCACCTTGGTACTTTCATGTCCTGAAATGCGTGCGGAAAAGTACTTCTCCGCATGGTCGTAGAAAAATAACGTTCCTTAATCATGTGGAAAATCTCTTTTCCTCATTTAATTGCTACGCACACGCCCTAACCGACGTTTCATTTTAGCCGCCTCTGTCAACTGTCAGACTGTCACTGGTCAACCAATGAACTATTATTAGGCGACTTCGGCAAGCTTTGGTTGGTATACCATTTGGTTAACCAATTGGTACCTGCGACGTCATAGTAATTACGTAAGATACCATTTTGTTCCGAATTCGTTTGGTAGGTCATGAAAGAGGGGAAGAGACGAGCCTTAACCTAATTTTGTGTTGTTCTTCTAGTTTTGGGAGTGACTAGATACTGACTGCACTGACTAAAATCTATATTCACTAATCAGCACTATCTAGACAGTACCTTATTTGAGTAACCTATTGGCTAACTCAGCATTTTCTGTAAATTTAAAGCTTATTCCATAATCCATTTAGCAAAAAAGTTACCCCATATCTGTCGTTCAAAGCCATTTTTCAAACATTATTTGGTAGTCAAAAAACGAGAAAACAGGAAGATGAAGGCGAAAAAACAAACATATTTGTTGAAAATTTCAAACTATTCAAATTCTAATAAACTTCCATTTATTTACATTTCCCAGAGCAGGACAAAACGAAAATAGACGTAGATAGCACTATACCAAATGAGAAGAACCGTGCTGCTAACCACGGTATCCTATCTGACAGAACAAAAAGGATACCAAAGTCACGGCGACGACATCATTTTCGTATCCGAAATTGGTGGGTATGCATTTGACAGACCAAACAGGGTACCAAACCATGTACCAAAGCTTGCCGAAATCGCCTATTATAAAAGCTCCGATATATCGAAAAGATTATATCGATATTTTTTTCGATATATTGAATGTAAAATATCGATCAAAATATACCGATATATTTGAATAATATTTTGATTTCTACTTTCTACAAAATATCGATATATCATTGCTATTCCTACCCACGCGCAAAACTAAATTATTTGGCATACGGCGCAAGCGCCAGACTTCCCGTTGTGGGTAGAGGTGGGCCAACCTGCGATTTTAATGCAGCTGTGATAAGACGTGACTGCTCCAGTCGTGTCGCTGTGACAAATAGCAGTGATTTCTTGGAGCAGTTTTACCTTAGTTGGCGGCCGAACTGCTAATATTATGTTAATGCTACATCTCAAAATGGCATAATCGCAGCCCGCAGTCACGGCCGAGGGAGATGTTCCAGTTTCCAGCCTGCCCTCTGCAATAGCAGTTACTATTTGGCGGGACCGCGATGCGATTTATAATATTATAATATTGCATTTGCATCACTTAGCTCGAGTTTTGTCTGCGCTGGAAACAGACAAAATGTCACTGCTACTTGACTGGGACTGGAGCAGGCCGTGACTGTGAGACGAGTAGCAGTGACAAAGTCATAGTTCCTGGAATCGCAACCCATCTCTAGTTGTGGGCCGGACTGTCCCGATTATTATCAAAGAATAGAGATGGAGAATAGTAGCATAAAGTAATAGAGCATAGAACTGACCACAAATAACGGAAGCACAGATGGTCAGATGGACAGATTGCCACACACACACCACACCACTTGTATAATTCTTATACAAAGTTGTGTAAATTTGAATTACATGATACTGGATATTACCACATGGAACAGAATGAGCATTAAAGACGTTCGTACTTCCGCATTCCCCACGAGAGCTCCCATGGGTGCTCCGCACCCATGAGAGGTTGCTCATGGGAGCACCTGCCCCGATGCCCCCATGTAGTCGGCGCCAGTGCCCTGTATACCACTATGCTCAAGCTTGTGAAGCAGTCTCTCTGGAGGAACAGTGTCAAACGCCTTTTTAAAGTCGAGGTACACAACGTCAATTAGATAATGCTCTGCAGATGACTTGGTCCAGTGTTCCAGGCTGGACGCTGGACAGGAGATTGGACGTAACTGATCTCCCCGGCAGAAAACCATGCGGTCATAACGAATTTTGTCATTTCAGTAGCTATAATCTTTTCCATCATACATTTGCAGGGTATTGATGTTAAACTGATAGGCCTATAGTTTTCAGCTAAGTGTTTATCGCTTTTCTTATAAATCGGAATGATAATTGCATTTTTCCACGCTTATGGGACTATGCCATCTGTAAATGATTCTGTCATTGTTCTTGCAAGGATTCCACTCATGGTCGCGCTGCAGTTTTTTTAGCAATATAGGGGATACATCATCAGGTCCTGGGCTGACAGAGAGCTTCAGATCAAGCAGCACCTTTTTCACCTTCTGTGGGGTAAAAACAATATTTTCAAGCGTGGGTCCTGACCGTCTGGCTACGGGAAGTTGTGGTATAGTTGTTGTGTCTTCATGTATAAATACTATGTTAAATTGATTGCTAAAAATTTCCCCTAGTCTTTGTAGTTCAGACTCAAGATGGTTGTCTGAATCCCGTAAGACAAAGTTTTGAAGCCTAGATTGAAGCGAACGGTTGATATACTGGTAGAATCTTCTTGGACCCTGCTCTAGGAGACTGCTCTCAAAAATCGACCTAGCATTTCTTGATGTTTGGGTGATTCGGTTTTTCGCACATTATATACCCGTAGGTCACAATTCTTACCAGAACCTGTGTATAAATGCCATGCTTTTCTTTTTTGGTTTATCAATTGAACATGAGCTCTAGTAATCCGCGGTTTTTTAAAGGTCTCCACTTGACGCTGAAGAGGCACATAGACTTCTGATATGTGGTCCACTACTTCGACAAAGTTATCATAATAGGTTGTGCTGTTGTTTGGTTCAGGAAAATGATTTATAGCGTCGTAGTCTTCCTTCCAGGGGTTTTTATGTCTTTTTACAGCTTTGACAACTGGAAGTAGGGTCATCTGGGCTGTGGCCACAACAGTAACATGATCGGTCTTACCTATTGGGGGTGCAGACGTTATACTTTTTACCAACCTTTCATCTGATACCAAGAACAAGTCAAGTACTGAGGAGACAGTACCCTCCCGAAAACGAGTATTAAAGTCGATTAACTGTTGCAGTCTTGATTCCTCGTAGGCCATTTAAAATTCTTCAGCAGGAACACAACGTTTAGTCACTTTACCGGTGGACCAATCTATTTCAGGATAATTAAAATCACCATAAATTATTGTGCTAAAAGAATCGTTTAGCCTGTTTAGCATATCCACAATCAAGTTGTAATCCTCAGACAAACATCCAGGAGGTCGGTAAATACACCCCACCAGCAGCTGGACAGCACTAAACCTCAGGCCGACAAAAACACTATCCACCACAGTTAGCCCAACAATAAAATCTTCTTGCCTTACACAGAAGACTTGATGGCCCTGGATACAATTTTTGATATAGATACTCACCCCTCCACCTTTCTTTATTTGCCCATGGTCATTTATGGTTGTGCGATCCTTTCTGAATAATGTGTAGCCATGTATCCCAATCAAAGAGTCTGGTATGTGTGGGTTCAACCATGTTTCAGTGATAAAAATTAAGTCTGGCTTTTTCTCTAGAATTTCAATGACAAATTCATCAAACTTGGAGATGATAGAGCATAAATTGATACTCAACATTAATATGGAGGAGTAGGTTTGGGCATTTAGTTTTTTGAGTGGTCATTACTGAGGCCATGTACCCCAGATGGTCTAACCTTAATTATTTTTGGAAGACCACTGAAGTATTTAATTTTAAGGTTATCTTCCCCTGTAAACAATGTAAAAACGAGGAGAGATATTAGGCTAAATATAGTGTTAAGTTTGCCAGGCTCGTAGATAAGTATTAGACTAGTCTTCCAAAATTAATTTACCTTTGTTGAAGACAATAATTCAAAAACGGAATAACGAAACTCATTATCATAACACTCCTAACTCTAAACCAGCTTCATGGACCGGAAGATATATATGGTGACAGATTTTCGGACGTGACTTTACCCAGTATGCCTTTTGGAGGGGGTTTTATCTGAATCATCATAACTTACTGTCTTGCTATCGATTTCGCTTTATAGTACATCGTTTCTTCTAGAATTGTCTAGATAATTCTGAATTCGCTGGACCATTGCGAGGTGAAATTTTATTCGCGATCCATTGCATATCTACTTACTTGATCTAATATTGCCTATACTATGAAGGTATTTGAATAGTTTCTTAATCTTTTTTGTCTGTTTTCATCTTCATTAAATTATTACTGTCGTACTGATATAATTTCAAATCAATAGGAAATATGAAGGTATCTTATTTAAAATCCAATACTCCGAAACACCATACTGTCCAATCAAAAATTTCAATTATCCAAATTAGAATACACGCACAAAATAAGGTATATACCTAATCGAAATTTAAATTTAGTTACTTGAACTTGTGTTGTTATAATTATTGTTTTTTATTTGGAATTGAAAAGTGTAAATTGTTTATTGTAGACCCCCCATTACGCTCGCTTTAATTTGAAGCATTAATGAGAATAAGAGGAACTATTTTTAACCAAACAATTTAATGGCATATGTTTATGCAAAAATACAAACATTGACGTCATTATCTGAATTTCACTATACATTAGTTATAGATAAAGAGGTTGAATATTAGTTATGTAGTTGTTGGCCATGCTGTTTATTAAGAAAACTTTGCCATTCATCTTCAATCTCTAATAATCAATAAATAATAATAATAATAAAGTACCTAGATTGTTTAGTGATTTCGCTTCCTTGCAAAACTTAGTGCCGCAGAATCAAAATTAATTATTTTGATTTTTTGTAATTAAGGTAAGGCTTCGAAATATTCATATTAATTGATTGTTTTATTTGATAAAAGTCTAACAATCTGTGGTAAGCAATTAACATTTCACCTATACTACACGGAGAAAAATCTATACTAATATTAAGTATACACATCTTAATTCAACGCCAGACAATATTTAATAGTCCTCAATCGTAGTTTATAGTCAATTCAACACTAGATAGTAATTAGTTATTGTTGATGGAAAAATTCAAATTATTAATAGGTTCGAAAAATTATTCGCATGGAGTTTCTTATGGCTTTTCCGCAGAAATACGTGAAAATTGTCGTTTTTCGACCTGTTTTTTTTTTTGGGCAAATATAAAAAATAGAAAATTATTATCCAATAGTATTTGGATTTGTCTACTACTCATTTGCAATCTTGAAAAATGCTAGGATTATGTCCACAGAGTAAAATACTATTGGCTAATAATTTTCTATTTTTTATATTTGGCACAAAAAAAAAAAACAGGTCGAAAAACAACAATGTTAACGTATTCCTGCGGAAAAGCCATAGGAAACTCCATGCGAATAAATTTTCGAACCTATGAGATAGGGCAACCAGTCCTAGAACTGAAAAAAGGAATATGGTGACATTTTCGTTAAGGACAGAGTAAGCTTATTGCAATAATCAAAATTACTTGCTATTAACCACTATTTACTTTCGATGAAAGTAAAAAGTAGGTATAGGTACTTGATCGAATCAGAATATTGGTTTAAATTAATAATTTGAATTTTTCCAACAACAATAATGTTTGAAATATAATTTCTCTCTTAAGAATGAGTTGAAAAACTTAAAACAAATCACTCTATATATAATCATCGGTTTATAACGTTCTACGTCTTCCGATTCCCGATTTCCAACCATCTCTATCAATCCAGGCATCCTCCTCTAAGCCTCTGTCTCTCACTTCATCCACTCCACTTCTCCAGCTTCTTCTTGGTCTGCCGCGTCTTCTTCTTCCTCCTGGCTTCCACTCAATTATTTGCTTGGGTATCCTTGTATCTGCCATTCTTTGAAAATGTCCGAACCAAATCAGCTGTTTGTCCTTATATCATCTACTATTGTGTGTTTTACGTCCATAATCTCCCTTATTCTCAGATTTGTTATCCTTTCCATTTATGACCTGCCTGCTGATCTCCTCCAAATGCCATTTGAGTTGCTTCCAGCATTTTTGCGGTTCTGTTCTTTAGTGGCCAGACTTCTGAGCTATATGTGACTATGCTTTTGACTATGGTGTTGTATATTCTAGTTTTGTTAGTTTTGTTGATATTTTGGTCCCACAGTACACCATTTTTCTATTACCTGGGTCAAACTAAATAAATGGTCTACAGTTGATCTTCCTGCTCTAAAACCGGCCTATTCTTCTGCCTCACTATCTTTGTACTCGTTCTTTTTTTTGGCTTTTATGAGTTTTCCGTACACTCTGCTCAGTGTGTTTGTTACTGCAATTCCTTGGTGGTTCTCGCATTTGCTTCTATCTCCTTTCTTATATATCGTTGTTAAATAGCTTATTTTTTACTCTTGCGGTACTTCATGTTTATCTATGCATGTTTGAAAAAGTTTTGTTAAATGTTTGTAGAGTTTATTGGTCCCATACTTTATCAGTTTTCCATATTTTTCTCCTGGGCCTGGTGCCCTACCGTTTTTCGAGAAGCTACAGTGTTTTTTAACTTCTTCAGCATAACTCTTATAGGTGATCCTGCAGTTTTTATGTTTCGTGTCTGTTTCCTTTCTTCTTTAAACTCGGCTCGCTGTTCTGTCAGTAATTCTTCAAAGTACTCTTCCCATTGCTGGGGTGTTATTGTATTGATAATATCCTTGGTTTTTGTTTTCCTCATATTTTTTAGTAATCTCCAACTTTCTGTGTTTCTTTTACCTCCCAGATAAGTAATAATATGCACACAGTTTCTTTCCCATGACTCGTTTTTTTTCTGTACTATTTTATTTCGTACTCTTGCTTGTGCTTCTTTATATATTTCTTTGTCTCGTGTCTTATTTGAACTTAGATACTGTTGGTATTTCTTCCTTTTATCTGCTATGTCTTGCTCTATTTCTTGATCCCACCAATAAGGTGAGGGCCTTCTCCATTTTTTTGATATTTGCCTAGGGCCAACTAGGGCTTCAAATGCTGCACTGTGAATACTCTTTTTGATATGTTGGTAATGCATTTCAAGGTTTTGGAAGTTTATACTACTCTGTAGTTTTTGATCCAATCTCTTCATGTACAACCCCTTTACGCTTTGCTCTTCTAGAGATTTTAGGTTGGCACATTATTGTCTTCTAATTGTTTTTCTATTCCATTTTCTTTTGCGGTGTTTCTGCCCGGGATAAAGATTTTGTTTTCAGGAGGTAGTGATCGCTACCACAGGTCGCTCCCCTATATGCTCTCACATCTTGAAATTTTATGTTCGAGATCTGTTTTGCGATAGTGTAGTCAATAATCGATTTTTGTTGTCTAGTTTCATTTCTCCATGTGTACCTATGTATTTCTATTATATAATTATATTATTAAATAAAAGAAAAGATATTGAAGATTTAAACATAATATATTCATATATTCTTCATTTCATTAAAAATCCAATCAATGAAATAAATTTCTTAAATTAATGCCCTATGTATTTCTTCACTCTAATGTTTGAATAAAGGCCAAACTTTTATCAGTCCATGATGGACATCATAGCAAAAAAATCCAAAACAGCCTTTATTTTTTATGTTTTTAAACTTCAAACCATCCCAGCCAGAAAAAAAACACCCGGGAGAAAAACCTCAAATACAAAACTTGTAGATCTCATTGAGAACTACAAAAAAGCCCTATAGAAATACCCCTCCACAGGGCACCGTTTTTGAGAAAATCAACTTCAAATCTTCAAATCAATACATTTTCAGAGATATTTCAACTTTGACGACTTATATCTCGGAGACGAAAATAACCTGGAATATCTATAAAAAACAATTTGTAGGTAATTTAATTCTCTTTCAAACAAAACCTGATTCAAGATAATCGGTTCGAAATCACCAAAGTTATAAGCGAAAATGTAACGCCGTGTCAGGTCCCCGAAATTTTGCAAAATAAAAAAAATTTCCGTTTTTTTGCGGGCTAGCGTCGGAGCAAAAAACGCCTACAGACATTTTCGACGTATTTTTTAATCCTCTATCCGATGAAAATTTTAATTTTTCAAAATTCGGGAAAATAAATGCAGAACGCGTATACCTCATTACAAGCCCTTTTTCAAAATTAGGGGGATAGGGGCTAAAACCTTTCCTATAAGTCCTAGAGGGCTGAAACTTGAAATTTCAACTTTTTTACATCTCTTTTACCTACATTGTAAATTTCGTCCAAATAGGACCAAAAAAAATTTTTAGGGGCCCCCAGGGAACTTTACTTTTAAGATAGGGGTTTCTCGTATTTTTTTCTCAATAGAGTACTTACCTGTTCCACTATATGTACAGGGTGATTGATGGTCGATGGTAGGTTAGACGTTTATGGAAAACGGAATGTTGGATATTTTTGAAAATTTGCATGCCTAAGTAATTGCTCCTGATCTATCATTCTAAAATAATTTCAACGATGCGACGTAGCCGCTTATACCAAAAAGTAATATGAACTTTGAAATTTTAAATGAGACACCCTGTATATTATTGCATTTTTCGCTCCGCTATTACTTTCTGATCATTTTTGTATAATACTGTCCTATACCTATCTCTAGTGATTTTCGAATTATTAAATAATTTCTTTATTTTTTCTTTAAAAAATAGCTCTAGTTAAATTTGTATTACGTCCCTGAGATTCGTAGAAAGTTTAAATTTTGGAGACAACTTATGGCGTTTCCGATTGGTAAATTCAGTGCGCACTGAGTGTATTTGCATCCTTCTAATCGACCTGTAGAAGAAAAAGACAGAAATAGAAAAAATTGCACTAGTTCCGCACTAAATCTACCAATCGGAAACGCCATTAGAGAGGTCCTGCATATTACTTTTGAGCAAGAAAATTTGTTCTACATTATACAGGGTTGGTCAAAATTAGTAATTGTGCTGCCAGGTACAAAAAAGATGAAAAGTGCACTTTTTTAAATAGAACACCCTGTATATTATGAAATATTATGAAAGGCAATTAAAATCCCTTATAAATGATGTATCATGTTCCTATACCTAAATAGTAAGGTTTCAGAAATACAGGCAAGTTTCTGTCAGAATTGGATTATTTTGGGATATTTGTCTAATGGCGATTCCAATTGGTAGATTTCATTCATACTGAGTATATTTTCATCTCTTTCTTTCAGCCTGTTGTAGAAACAGATACAAATACTTTTTCTTTACACTCATTTTACCAACCCGAATCGTCATTAAATAGCTATGTCACGATGAAACATATTAGGTAATTCAAACGATACAAACCACATGATTGGCAGGTGATTAGAACCATGGTTATTATCTAGGATTAAAAACAAATGCATAAGATGGTCCACTTTTTACAATGTGTGATATGCAAAAATAACGTCATTGTTTTGTTTTTGTCTCTTTCCTACTCACGGTGTTTTTGACAGTTCAATCCAATGACGTCATAAAATCTATGGAAGTGGGCCATACATTTTACCATGACTATTTCCCTCCTGTTAATTTTGACCAATCAGAAGTGATAATTTTGGTGTCAAAAATAATTTTTAATTAAAAAAATTGCCTGCCATCAGCTGTCAGAAAGTTTATTTGGTTTTTCCCAAAGCAAAACTTTACAAAACGTCAAAAAGAAGAAACCTGCAAAAAAAATTGTAGCAAGAATATGCAAAAAGTTCAACGAAATGTACCCTGATTTACGACCAATGAATGAAAGAAAATTTGTTCGGACACAATAGTTATTTGTATATCAAGGCCGCGAAATGCCTTTTTAGCATACGTAGAGAAAAGTTATCGCCGAGGCAAGCGGCCGAGGCAAGATACTTTCAAGTACGCTAAAAAGTTTCGCGGTCATATACACACTATTTTTTGTGCAACTATAAAAATTATGTAAAGTTACAGAAAAACTGTATGAATTTGACAAGGATTTGACCCATTTTGCACGTCAGGTGTGGCGGTCGCGAAATTGAATTTTGCGGACGGTTGCACAAAAAATAACTTTATACAATTTGGTTCAAAACTTAAGAATGAACCAAGCTTCTCCAAGCCTGTAACGTCTGATGAAGAAACATCGTGAATGTTTCAGCCTACTTTCACGCATATCCCCAAGCTTCCATCCGAAGTGCAGCAGGTGATTTAGGCCTAAGCTATTATAATGTGCAGAAAATTTTTAACGATCATAATATGCATCCCTTTAAATTCACAAAAGTTAAACAGCTGAAACCGGATGATTACCAACGTCAAATTCGATATTAAGAGACACTTCTGACACACAATTATGAGTATCTAAACTTTCTAAGAAAAAATTAATATGGACCGATGAAGCTAAATTTTCTAGAGAAGGTATTTTTGATAGGAGAAATCAACACTTTTGGGCTAATCAAAATCCACATGCGGTCAAGGAAAAAAAGATTCCAAACCCCCAGTTGCAACAAAATAGGTTGTGACAGTATTTTTTCTACTATCTCACGTAAAGTACTCACTTTATGCACTATTGCGAAGACGTTAAATTTCACTTCACACACTAGTACGTAAAGTAATGTCAATGACAGATGTCAAAACTGTCAATTTAGTATTTTTCTTTTTCTGGTAAATTACTTCACGCACTAGTGCGTGAAGTATTTGTCTAAATTTATTTAACTCACATATTTTATTGATAGTAGAAAAAATGTTGTATGCAATAAGTGTGTACAGTACCTTTTTTACTCATGTGATTGTCGCACGTCACATTTGTGAAAAAAAGTTCACTCAACACACTTTTACTGCTATTTAATAAGACATAGGTAATTTTTAAATACCTAATCAAATTCTTATAGAAAATTGCCTGTATTTCCGAAACCTTACTATTTAGGTATAGGAACATGATACATCATTTGTACGGGATTTTAATTGCCTTTCATAATATACAGGGTGTTCTATTTGAAAAAGTGCACTTTTCATCTTTTTTGTACCTGGCAGCACAATTACTAATTTTGACCAACCCTGTATAATGTAGAACAAATTTTCTTGCTTGAAAGTAATATGCAGGACCTCCCTAAGTTATCTCCAAAATTTAAACTTTCTACGAATCTCAGGGACGTAGTAATACAAATTTAACTAGAGCTATATAGGACAGTATTATACAAAAATGATCAGAAAGTAATAGCGGAGCGAAAAATGTAATAATATACAGGGTGTCTCATTTAAAATTTCAAAGTTCATATTACTTTTTGGTATAAGCGGCAACGTCGCATCGTTGAAATTATTTTAGAATGATAGATCTGGAGCAATTACTTGGGCATGCAAATTTTCAAAAATATCCAACATTCCGTTTTTCATAAACGTCTAACCTACCATCGACCATCAATCACCCTGTATACATACCAAATTTCAACTCGATCGGACACTGCTTTCACTTACAACTTTAGATCTAATAGTCAATTATAGTCAGTGTGTCAGTGTACACGCGTGTCGCTCAAAAAGACCGACCATTGATAAAATCAGTAATTACGCCCCTGGTACAAGGGTGGCAGTTTTGCCCATCCAGGAATGCCTGATGCAGGTTTTTCACTACCCATTGGCCCAAAAATATTTTGGTTTTTGGTTCGTTGTTTTCATAGTAGGTGCTTTTGACTAGGCGCGTGAACCTGAGTATCTAAAATATTTGTGTTAAAAATTGGCATTTTTTGATATTGGGAGTACTTTTTGCTATCGATAATACGGTAACTGTACTGCATAATATAGTTCCCTTTGTAATGATTATGAATTCTAGGAATTATAGTGCTTGTACACTTTTTTCGCGGAAACGATCCCAAACGTATCCTGAACGCTAAGGCATGACTTATGCAGGTAATATTTGAAAGTTTCATGTCTCTATTAATTAGTAAACCTGCGTAGGTCATGCCTCAGCGTTCAGGATACGTTTGGGATCGTCTCCGCGAAAAAAGCTAATAATTCATATAAACTTTTGGGCAGTCGGTCGATTTGACCGAACGCGTGTAATGACGTAAGTTTTTTGACGCGTCTAATGCCGGGTTAATAAGTATATTTTTTTATTGGTGTTAGAACAATCATGTCATTCAGAACTGCAAAAAGGTTTAAGTTTCCTTTTGAATCAACCATCAACCATCAACCAATCATTTTCTGATGTTTATGTTTAAAATAAAAACGATTTACCATTTCTCATTGTAAATACTCCCTTATGTGCGAAAATCACGATATAGGCACTATCGCTTTACCTGAAAAAGTTTATAACTGAGCTATTATTAGCAACTTATTCGTCTACTGCGGTTCTGGGTAAATGTGCAAACATTTCCAATAGTTGCACCAAATTCAAATTGTGTAAAGATAGCAATAGGTATAGGTCGAGCAACTCATCCTGAATTTTGTTACTTGACTCAATAAATATTTACTTAATCATTATTAGTTAAGCCAGTTAGCCAATGTTGTTGATCTTTAACAGGTTATATACATATTAGCACAGTGTTACGACGGAGCAAGTGGTATGGCAGGCTCTCTTTGATTAAAAAAAAAATATTGGCACATAAACAAATCCTTTATTATATGAAGCTAATAAAATCCTATTCACAGGATTGAAATTGGAATGGTACTATCGAACATGAGCCATGTTCTGTCGTCCATCAGCAACGAAGAAGTGTCTCCGGTGACGCTCAACGACCATTGGTCCAGACTGGCCCGATTAATTCTTCTGGCATCGATGTCTGCTGTGGGCAGCGTCGGTAACGTCTTTATGATGAGTGCCGTCATGATCGAGGACTATTTGAGAAAAAGAGGTAAGTGTTGTAACACCTACGAAACGGTACTATAATCATGAATCTATAGGTCTACATGCGACGCAGCATGTAACAATAATAGTTGGGGTTGAGTCAGCAAAAATATTTTATTTTCTACCTAACTATTATAGATCCATATTCTCTAGGAAACAAAATTCGTTAACATACCTATAACAACCTGAGGGCATTATAAGGCCAGCGGGCGTTATGATCTATAACGCCCGCTTAAAATACCGTGAGGTGTTTTTGTTGTTGTTGTTTTATTAATTTGCACTTCACCCTAGGAAGCCACTAAATGACCGACCGAAAATAATTTTTGATCTGGCCAGGAATCGAACCCGGTCTACTATCAACGTTTCCTATGTAGTCTAGCGCGTTAACCCACACGACCACCGTTGCCTTGCCTTTTGAGATGTTTATATAGATATATTAATTTATTACGTTTCTAGGTACAGGTTCCGATGAAAGAACATTGTGTTGAGTAGAAAATAAAGCATTGTATGTACCACGGGGATTTTTAGATTATAATGTCTTTCAGGCAAAATATATCCCTCGGGCCAGAGGCCCTCGGGCTAGTTTCGCCTTCGGGTATTATAATCTACGTAATCCCCTTGGTACATAAGTAGCTATAATATACTTTCACATGTTACTGATTTTTTGATTGATTCATGGTTTAACGGATTTGCTACGTCGTTTATTTAAATGGGGTTAATATGAAAGTTATAGTTAAAACCTATTCAGAATTGTTATGTTCAAACATACTAGGAAGGTGTATAATTATTATGAACTTATACTCATCATGGAGTGTAGCTTCGATGTGGTATTTGACATCATAACATCTACGTCGTTCAAAAAAAAAAGACAAACACAGACAGGGAGATTGGTAGTATCTCGTCGCGACTGGTTAACAGAGTCTCTGCACAGGTTATTGCTGCCATACTTTGGCGCATTGGCAGCATAACATAGAGAATGTTATTGGTAACATGCCCTAAAAAAGCCAAGAGACTATGGAAAAATTCACTTGGAGATTGTGGAAAATGGGTTGGTGACGCGAAACATCAGATTTGGAGCAAAGAAGGTGATCTCATAGCTACTGATACGCTATAGCTACATATATGTTTTAGCTGGAAGGGCGATAATATCAGAACATAATAGGTGAACTTTCAAATTTGGACCAGTTGCCCATGAATGGGTCATTCTAGTTTTGAAGTTATAATTACTAATTCCACATCGATTTAATGCAGATCCGAATTCTCCTAAAGCTGTCCAATAATGGACACACTGGAAAACTACAAAACTGAAATTTTTACTAAAATAATGTATGTCACTCCAACTTTTTTTTTATTGCTGACTCCAAGAAATATATGCTGGTATTATCAAGCTCTTAAATCTGCCCTTGTAAACCCAAAAACTAAAATATTTGCAAGGCATATTGGTCTGACTAGAAAGCAGCAATTTGGGAAACACTTATTAGGTCAGTATACAGGGTGTCCCACGGTGGATGGCGTATTAGACGTTAATGGAGAACTAAAAAGCGGATCATTTTGAAAATTTGGCAACCGGGATAAACGACCATAATCTACCCTTCAAAAATATTTAGGTTTATGCGGTGTTGCCGCTTCTACTCTAAACCAGTGGCAACATCGCTATTTTAAATAGAACACCCTGTATGTGATTGCATATTTGGATTCTACGTAAAATTCTGAGCAGATTTCATGTGATATACCCTATACCTAAGTTCAACTGCTTTGGAAATATTGACAGTTGAAAATGGACTTTTTGCAACTTTGACAGTCTCTAAAACCTGAACGGTTAATTTTAGAGAAAAACCGATTGCACATTCCTATCTTGGATTTTCATGAACTATCATTTGACACCAACTTTGAATTTAACCGGAGATTAAATTTTTCAAATCATGGATTAAATTCGAAGTTGGTGTCAAATGATAGTTTATAAAAATCTGAGATAGGGATGTGAAATCGGTTTTTCTCTAAAATTAACCGTTCAAGTTTTACAGCCTGTCAAAGTTGCAAAAAGTCAATTTTCAGCTGTCAATATTTCCAAAACAGTTGAACTTAGGTATAGGGTATATCACATGAAATCTGCTGAGAATTATACGTAGAATCCAAATATGCAATCAAATACAAGTTGTTCCATTTAAAATAGCTATGTTGCCACTGGTTTAGAGTAGAAGCGGCAACACCGCATAAACAAAAATATTTTTAAAGTGTAGATTTTTGTCGTTTATCCCGGTCGCGAAATTTTCAAAATGATCCGCTTTTTAGTTCTCCATAAACGTCTAATACGCCATTCACCGTGGGACACCCTGTATAGATACTCATCTTAAACCAAATACCTAATGACTGTAATTTTAAAGTTGTTTCTTCAGTTTAAAAATCGAGATTACTACATGTTAGAGAATAATACCTTAACATTAGAGGAAACTGTTAACAAATCCCAATCACTATAGAAACTATGCAAAAGTATTCATATTCTGCTCTTGAAATTGCGAATTCAATATCATTAATGAAAAATACGTTAGAATTAATTTTGAAAGAAAAAAAGTTACTAGATTTTCAAGATTTTCGCTATTAGCTTAGATTTGCGATAGAATTAGATCAAGTTACGTGTGCGGCAAGTAAAAACTACAAATGTTATATTTGCAGATCTATTAAAAAACATTCATGTACTATATTTTAGGTTCAGCTAAAGATTTCGTTTGCTCAGAGTGTGCGAAATATGGACACCTTTCAAAAGTATGTCAAAGCAACCTTCATCATCAGCTTCAATAATCTCTGCTTTTTCATGTTCAAATTTGAAATATCTTGCTGCTGCTCCACAAAGCATGTCCGCAATATCCACAAGTCTAGTGAAAATAAAAATCAATGAAACTTCTGCACTTTAATAGATAATGGAAGCTCCGTAACATACATAAATAAAAACTTTCCCTCATTTATCAAGATTAAAATTTTTCCAAGTTCAGGCTAGACTATAAAGGCATCTGCAACACTGAAATTTTCAATATATGACCAGTCACCACTGTTTTGCAGATTTAGAAATAAAAGATCACCTGTATATACTCGTTTGTCTGTTCTTCAATATTCCACTTCTCAAATTACATTTGAAGACTTGAAATCGCCTCTGGGTTGGTTTACCAGACAGAATTTGCTATTTAGCTCATCCAAATATAGAATCTACTACACTATTTTCAAACTTATCACATGATTGTTGACCAATTATTGCCACTAAGTATCGACAATTTTCGAAAGGATACTCTAAAATTATATCTGATGAATAAGTCCTTCATTACATGGAATAATAGAAGGAAGGATCTTGATTTTGCTGCCTGGTGAGCTCAGGTATTGACAGACTTCTGTTGTTTTATTTCGATCCAATCCCAAAGAAAACCTCAACCAATTACAATTAAACTAACCGATGAGATAACGGGCTACGAATGCATTAACGAGAACATACTTCGAGTTAACATGAAGATGCTTGGAACTAATATAAGCATAATAGCAGCCTACACACCATCAGGTGACGAAAGAGTAGCTATATCAGGGAGATAATTATGCTTGGCGATTTTTATACTTGAACTGGAAGACAAACCCGAGTAAAGTAGTAGGGCAATTTGGAGAGGAAGCAATGGCTTCAGATTGATTCAATTGCGGATAACTCACAACCTAAGAATAAATAGGTAATGGTTTTTTTAAACGTAAGTATATTCATCGGAAGGTTACCTGGATTCAGTAATCAAGAAATCTCAAGCAAGAAATGCCATTTTTTCAACATTTTCTAACGACGTGGATTGTCGAGACTATAGAATTGTTTTGTTATACGTACTTGTAGGAAATTTTGTCTACTTCAATTTGGTATATCATAGGTATAGTTATAGTTAAGAAACGCTCAGTTTTCAAGTTATAGTTAAAAACCTGAAAAAAGTGCTGAAAATGTAAGGATTTTTTGCAAGTCTCCTTGTGAAGTCGTCGCCTGGCGAGGTGGCAAAGTAGCAAACCTCAGATTCGGATTCAGCACTCCAAAAAACATAAGAAACCGGTAAGAAAAAACTTCTACATTTGTTTCCTGGAAACGTTGTTTCTGAACCTTGGATGACTGAACTATATCGGAGAAAATGATAACCTAGAAAACATCGAATAAAATCCAAAATACAACTTCAGAAGTCTACTTGTATCGAAGGCGGTTAGATGAAAAATTAATAAACACATGAAAACACACGTTTCAAAAAATATATGGAAACATAGTAAAGAGCTTGAAGGAAGGAAGCAACCAAAGAAGTTGTTCAATGTTCAATAAAAACAGCCATAGGATCTGGTGGACTCAAGAAATACAGGAAATCGTCAGGGAGAAAATACGAACATATTTAAAATGGCTCAGTAGGTACTAAAGACCAAAGAGACCTAGAAATCTACAGCAGAAGAGAGCTAAGGAATTTAATACGCAAGGAAAAAAATGAAATGTTTGAGCGCAAGTGCCACGATATAAATACACACGTGGGAGGCAGGCGAAGTTTTGAAATTCATTTCTACGGTGAAAAACCCAACAAAAGAAACAGTGAACATTCAGATCATCAAACTAGAACAATCGACAGAACACTATACAATGGACTGCTACAGGAAACGAGACCTGAATTTCTTTCAGCCACTCCGAGGAGAAACATAGAAGTACATGGAGGAGAGGAAGTAATCATCGAAAAAAAAATGATAAAGAATAGTAACTTGAAAAGCTTAAATCTGAAAAAGCTAGCGGACCTGGAGTAATATACGCTCAAATACAAATCAGAAAAACTCCTAGAAAATTTTACATTGATATAGGGCCAATCAATGCATAAATGCACATCCAGTACCTGATTATTGGAAAATAGCATTCATATCCTCAATACATAAAAAAAGAAACAAGCTGGATTGCAATAATTACAGAGGATGTTCACTAACCAATACTCTAAAATAGATTGTACGGTAGAATTCTCATAGAGATTTAAT